AAATAAAATAAAATCATAATGCCTCTCTATGGGGAGGATATGTAGAAGCAAAGTCAAGCATTTCTAAGACTAGAGGAAACTATATCAAAAATTTAAAGTAAAATTAATAATCTAGCTGACAAAGACCTATGGAAGGTGTTTATGTGTTCCATGGGGGAAATAAAATCAATGAAAGAATGAACATATTGCATTTATACATAACACATGCTTTATGCCATTGTAGTCCCAACACTATATTTCTGTTATTCAAAATGATTAAGGACTCACTGTGGTCCATTAAGTTTTTCTTTAGATGTTGATACTGTAGAATAACAATGAATATTTTGTTACTATTTACTCTGAAAGGCTTTGAGAATAAACTTCTTGAATACTTTGAGAAAAGAATGATAACTATACCTTGCAAGTTTTATAAATATACTTTTAAAAACATTTTACTATTATTTTTTTCTCTGAGAGAGCAAGAAAGACAAATAGAGACAGAAAGAGAGAGGTACCCATAACAAAATTCCCCTTCCATGATCTACATCCAGCCTCAGCCGGCTGGGTTGTGGACATTAACATGTTCCTGACATGTATGTTTGCACCTCAGGATGCAAACATAGAAATTTCTCATGTAGCTTCAGCCTCACTGTGTGTCGTGTTACTGCTTTACCACTGTGGCTGGTCCTAAATATACTTTTTCTTTAAGGTTGCTTAAATAGGTGTTTTTAAAAGGATGCAGGTTAGGGAACCAGCAGTTAGCGTAATGGCTATGTCGCTGGACTCCCACGTAGTCGACCGCGGTTCGTGTCCCGGACCCGGTGGCTTAAAACTCACGCCGGGCGCGTGTGCGTGCGTGCCCAAGATCCCGAGAGGAGAATGGAGGAGAAGGGATTGCGGCGTGACCATCCCCCCTGGGGGGTGATTTCTCGCTTTCTGTCTCTATGTCTCTCTCTGTCTGTCTGGCGAGCGCACGCGCCCTACAGTGAAAATCTCTCCAAAAAAAAAAAAAAAAGAGAAAAAAAAAAAAAAAAAAAAAGGATTCAGGTTAGACTTGGCTGATACTCAGTTTTAAGACCAGTACATATGAACAGCTTGTTGATAGTGAGCATCCTTTCTCATTGGTCAGTGCCCAATCAAGTAAATATTTACCCTGCCGTTGGGCATCTAGTGGACCTATGCCCTCTTTGCTATATCACTAAATATTGTGATATATTTTGGTCACAAATCAGAAGAACAACACATTCTAGTTATTCTAGTTACACATGATGAACTATTTGCTTCACACAGGAAAAAAAACAAAGATTTGCTAAAATATCTATATCCTTCTCTTAAAGGAAAAACAAAAAAGCAAATCATTTATTACCAAATAGTGAATGAAGACACAAATGTAATTGTCTTATTTCATTGTTTAAGTATGTAAATACATGCCTTTCCAATGGTCCATTATTAACATGAATAGTATTTCATTAACAAGAATAGAATATACTTCATGCTTCGCTTACCAATTTTAAAAGTAAACTCATTTTTTGTAAAGCTGTTCCCCAGATTAAGAATAGTTCTGGAGGGGATCAGCAGGTGGTGTGGTGATTAAGGTGCTAGACACTCCCACATGGCCGACCATGGTTCAAGTCCCAGACCTGGTGGCTTGCTTTTTCACTTTCTCTCTCTTTCTCTCTGTCTCTCTCTCTGGTCAAATAAAAAGAAATGAATGAATAAATAAAAATAAATAACTCTTAAAAAAAAAAGAATAGTTCTGGAAACATAAAGTAATTGGGGCAGAACATTCAGGAATGAGACTGACCTAAAGAAAACAGTTTGGCTATGGACTTTCTGTGGATCAGAAGAGCTTATACTCCCAGAATTATATTCCAATTTTAAAAAATGAAATCAAACAACATTTCATTTAGCATCAAAAGGCTGATACCAGGAAGTATTTTAGTTCCTATACTGGGAAGAGACATCTGCAAACTGGTCCAGTCAACAGAATGATGTGACATGTTGTAACTTTTTTTTATAAAGAAATATTCCTTTGGTTAAGGACATTAGCATTGCTCATTAGCAAGGGGTGAAGTTCTAGAAAATAAATGGTTAGGTTTTTTGTTTCTTCTTTCATATCAACTGCTTAATAGGATTTTTTTCAGCACGGTGAATAATAATCAGTTGGTATTCAATTCTCTGGTATGAATAAATGGAAACCACATTTTTTTTCTTTAAGGGGGAGGAAATGATGACAATAGCCTTGCTCTGCTAAATATTGCTATCACAATTAAGAAGACAAAAGAAACCATAGCTTTAGCAGCTCATTAGAATTAAACTTGATACCAATTACATTGTCAAAAAATGAATAAAATTGAATTTTAGTCAGCAAGCTCTGACAATATTATTTATACAAAGATATTTAAAACTCCATTTAATCAATTTATAAAACCCTGACATAAATAATACGTGGAGTTCACTGAAGAATTCCATCTGAAATGGAATCATATTTGCTTTGATGTCATGGACAAATAGGTCTAATTCAATACTGGACTCTCAGTCTTTCTCTTAATTGTTGAAACCCTTATCATAAAAGACCTAATTGACACATTCCAATTATTCTTTTCTTTTATGTTGTTCTAAATATATGTCACTGACATTTAAGAAGTACCCCAATTAGAGCTATAAAGGCTTAAACTTCTCTCTTGTTGAGGGACAAGAGATATATACCATTAACCTTGGTAAATGAACACTTGCTGTGTACTAACTCGTGCTTCATTGCAATAAAGCTGTGAATGCTCCTTTCTGTAAGCTGACCCATCTACTCCATTCTAAGCAGTTATATGTGAAATATACATCCAAGTTAAAAATATAATTTTCCATGCTGGCAGGTGGAATGGAGCTTAATGCACTGGATCTTATATGGTCAGCTTTGTGTCTCGAGTCCTGGACCTGACAGCTTGAGAAATATGCCAGGTGGATATGTTTTCATGCCCAAAATCCCGAGAGGAGAGTGGCAGAGGGATTGCTGGGTTCCCCCTCTGGAGTGAGTTCTCTCTTTCTCTCTCACTCAGGGGAACACATGTGCCCTATGCAAAACCAGAAGGAAAAAAAAAAGATAATTTTCAAAAAACAGAAGAAGTTATCATCTCTCTTAGATGAATTTCCACTGGAAAAAATTGCCACATTCTATATGAACAAATGCCATTTCTCAAGCAATATGGTTGCATCTGGCTTATTTTAAATTCTAACTACAATAGTTGAATGATTCTGATAGAGTTAGAGTCTGGATTATTGTCTGGCTGGGTTATTGGTGTTTATTATCTTGTTAAGATAAAAGAAGGAAACACATTATTTAGTGAATATACTTATAGGCCATTAATATAAAGCTTATCCTTAGATTTAATGATTGAGACACATAAAAATTGAGAAAAAACACTTATTGTTAACTTGCAAAAATGGAGCCTATGTTAAAACTATTACAAGGAATCAAATTGTTCAAAATCCCAAGTGCTTCTCATTACTCACCGATGAAGGAAACAAATGTATGATAAAATAGTTTCATGTATATTTTGTGTCTGGATGTATTACTATACTAATAGTTTCTGATTTTTAAAATTTTATATATAAATTTTTTATTATTATTTGACAGATGAGAACACAAACTTTAGTTTGTTATTAGGTTGTTGGGAAAGTCACCATGTATTTTTCTATGCAAAAATGCATCATTACTGTCCAGATGACCCAATATTATCTTCAATGGAATAAGTGAGAAAGACGAAAGAGGTACTGGATTAATTCGTAGAAGGGCCTGTTAACCAAGCACAGCTAGTAAATTGCCTCCCATGTCGTTCTCAGAGGCAAGCTTGCTGTCTCACCAGAGCGCTATCATTTGTTTGCTTCTTCATAACCCACAAACTATCTTCCCAACTGTAGCTGTGAAAGAGAAGAAACACAAAAGAAAATTTAAAGGTGGCAAAGAGATTTCATTTCTAAAGTCAATGCCCCTGGAACCTGTGTTGAGGTTTCTGAATCCATACCCATTCTCACCAAGTTATGAATAGCATCAGAATACTTTGGTGAAATATATTGAGAACATGGCACCAAGTTAATTAGTAATGTAGGATTTGAAGACATATCAAATTCAAGTTAACTCTTACCATTATAATGGTCATAAATGCATTCCTGGCAGATAGAATAAAAAAGATCCAGGCAAAAATGATCAGTCAGCATTTCTTTGGAAAATCTTCTGTCCCTCCTAAATTACTTTTTTGTTTTGTCTTGTTTAAGATATTCTCTTGGAAAAGCTAGTACTTTTGGAGCAAAAACCAAGATTTTCATCCTCATGTGGATCACTTAGCTTCAGAGGAAGAAGATTCCTAAGACAAACCAAGAAAAACAAATTTCATGAGAACAACAAAGGAAAAGAGCCAGGAAGTAAAATACGAAAAGTAACTCTAAGTGTATGCTATCTGACATAAATATAAAATATGCGATTTTTTTTTCTAAAAGAGATTTTTGCTACACAGAGAGCAAGAAATCATCCGCTGACACACTGCAATCCCTTCTCCTTCATCTTCCTCTCAGGATTTTGGGCATGCATGCACATGTGCCCAGCATGTTTTTTAAGCTGCCAGGTACAAGACTTGAACCGTATGTGAGAGTTCCATGACATAACCATTATGCCATCTACTGGTCCCCTAAATGTGTGATTTCACAAGCACTGGATGCCTTTATTTATTAGTATAAGTGGAAGCAAACACTAAATAGTTCAAAGACATAAATATAACAGCGAAAATGTTTCAAAGTAGATATTTTCCTAAAAACATTAACCTTCATTAAAGATTAAACCAAATTAATCTACACATTACATGTGGTAACTTAATAATTCAATCAAACCATGTGCCTGACAGTACCCTGCACTAGATATGCAATGGTGATCCCCATTGGAAATGACAGGTGTTATTCACATATCATTAATTGTAATTGCCTTAAATGCTATCATGAAAATGCATTTACACATACAATTGGATATTCCATTGCCATTACAATCAGCTGGGAGTTTAATAGAATGAAATGAACTGCTTTAAAAATGTCCTTGTTTTAGCCATGAGAAGCAGCTAAGTTGGAGAAGCAATAAGTTTGAGATGAGAAAGAGGTAAGAGTAACTTCTTGTCAGGGTGAGTTTCCCATTCCATTCAACTCTTCTATTTTTTTGTGCTCTAGACTTAGTAACTGAGCCCTACTATTCTTTGATTTAGGAATGTCCTTTGCCTCCTTCAAGATTAGCTCAAATATCACTTGTTGTTGACACTTACTGAGACAGGTGGAAAGAATGAATAATTCCTTTTTCTTTGTCTCTGTTAAGTGATAAATCTGTCTTTTATAATTCTGATCACATTAACTTTTTAACATTATTTTTCAACTGAAGTTGGAGAGTAATTAAAGGCATGTCTATTCAATCCATGTGTTGTGCAATATATTTGCAATGATTTATTAAATTATACCCTTCATCCTTTTAACGGTTTAGTAGAAGAAATTACTTTATTGATTTCATTGATTAAAAAGTGGTGAATTAAGTATATGTACTAGAAGGGCCTTTTTTATGAAATTTTTGTTTCATGAGACAGTGTTTTTAAATGAGAATATCAAAGAGAAAGCCTTACATATCATAATAATTTCAGTCAATGATAAATTGACACCAGTGAGCAAAATTTCATGGAAACTTCTCAGTCATTCTTCATGAAAAATATTCTTCAAAATTTGTCCAAAAATCGATATGCAAAGATGAATAATAAACCAAATAATAATGAATTAATTTTCTGTGATCAAATTAAATGTCCAACTAAAACAATATTCTGTTTACATACTTCTGAAACTAAAACCATCTATATCCATACAAATTTCTTTTTGCATTAGCATGACTTTACTATTCCAGGAAGATCTTACTTAGGAAGAGAAAGGTTAACTAAATATTTATCACAGGAGAACAATTTAAATAAACATTAGGGGCCAATTCCATAGCCTAGTGATTAAGGGAGCTGGATCCAACATAGCTGACCCAGGCTCAAACCCTGGACCTTGGCAATTTGAAAAGTATTTTGGGCATATGTACACACAGGCTCCAAATCATGACAGGATGTAGAAATGGAGGGGATTGTGGCATCACTATTAGCAAACTAAGTCTGCTGCTTCTACTTGTGGTTAGTGAAATGAGAGGCAGAGGCTAAACATAAGGGAATTTATTTCTACAGATTATAAGGAGATAATCAGCAACTACACCAAACTGTCTCAAAAAGCTCAGCATGTGCTGAGTACTTTAAGAGACAAGATACAAGCATGTGCAAATCATTCTTCATTGTAATCAACCAGTCAATTGCTTTTTTTTGGGCAATTATCTGATTCCTGTTTTTCTTCAAATATTCATTCTTGGTTTCTCATCTGACCATTCCTCTAACAGATCTCACCATGACTCATCACTCGGTTAGCTTTATTCTTATTAGAAGCCTTTCTTAATTGCAAAGTAGCTGCAGTCCTGCTAAACCTCAGCTGGCTTGCTTCAGCCTGATAATGCCCCACTGTGGTGCTTTCTCCTTGTCTCTCTGCCCTTCTATGGTGAGAAATTCCAATGTGTAGCATGGAAAGACTGCTTCAAATGAATCCTTTTGGGACTCTGTAGTTAAAGATTTGGCTTAATGTGTCCATTAATTCTAAATTATTATATCATAAACCTTACCCAATCCTAATCAAATACATTGCTTTCGGTGAGAACCAGAAGCCATCAACTTTGCTGTTCTCTGCTGAACTATTGCCAAGATATGTCAAGGTAGTGATTTTCTTTACCATGGGAAACAATACACTCAACTTATATCAATCAACAGGTATTTTAGATAATATTTTAACAATTTTTATTAAATGACTAAAATGTCCTTTTTCATAAACAAGACAGGTATTTTTTTTTTCTTTTTTTTGGAGAGGTTTTTGCTATAGGGCATGTGCGCTCGTCAGGAAGACAGAGAGAGACAGAGAGATAGAAAGCGAGAAATCACCCCCTAGAGGGGATGGTCACGCCACAATCCCTTCTACTCCATTCTCCTCTCGGGATCTTGGGCACATACACACATGTGCCTGGCGTGAGTTTAAGCCACCAGTTCTGGGACTCAAACCATGGTTGGCTACATGGTAGTCCAGCGACATAGCCATTACACTAACTGCTGGTCCCAATAAACAAGACAGGTTTTTAAAAAATATATATATTCATTTTTTTTCCTTGAGAGAGAGATGGAGATAGTGATAAGGGTAGAGAGAAATAGGCACTCTCAACAAGGTTTTTAAACTAGCCTAAACCATGGAAGTCTTTGGACACAGGCCTGGGACTTTCCCTTGTGGGTCTAGTTGTACTACCAATATGCCACCAACTGGCACCCAGGTTATGGTGTAAACACATTAGTCAAACACATTGTATGATAGGTAATATAGAGTTCAACAAATTTCTGGTCTAGGGGAAGAAATAGAAGTTAAATAGCACTTTTTTGTGGAATGCATGAAGTTGTGTTTTCGTAATATGAATAGTGTTTGAAATTTCAAATAAAATATATCTGGACTTTTAAATACTAAAATGTATTTAAAATTATTTCCTGTGATTACTTCGTAATTTAGAGTTTATACATGAGTGTCTTCTTCTCTCAGATAAAAAGTTTGCAATCTGGTGCTCTAACACCACTGAAGTAATGAGTTTTCAATCTTAAATCATTCAAAACCACTTTTGCTTCAAGTATTCCTATATGAATACTTGTGCTTTGCAATATAACTGCTCTTCATTTGATTCTCTTACATGATTTCCTAGAGACTGTCAATGTTTTGGCCATTTATACAACATAAGGTGACTGAAACATCATTGGCTTTGGATTTGGATGGACCTGAGTTTTAGTTTTCATTCTGCTTCTGACTACCTTTTACCATCGAAAATTACCAATATTTCTAAGTTTCACTTTCCTCATCTGCAAAATGAGGATAATACTATTTAACTCCTAGATTTACTATTAGAATAAAATGATATGGGAAATGTTGGATATCTACTGAGTTAGCAGAAAAGTCATGATGTGTTTTTTTATGTAAAAATGTGTCATGACTTTTTAGACAACCCAAATAGTGTGGAACCTGAAATGTGGATTACACAAAGTCAATGATAACTATTTAAGTTTTGTTAGTTATATGTTTCCCAATCTGCCAGATTACTCTACTTTCTGCCGTGATGTTCAAACCAGAGTACTTTTCTTTTTCTTTTTTTTTTTTTTTTGCCATAGGGCATGTGCATTTGCCAGAGAGAAAGCAGAAAGATATATATAGAGGGAAAGTGACAAATCACCCCCCGGGGGTGGGGTAGGGAGATGGCTCTGATGCATTCCCTTCTTCTTCATTGTCCTCTTGGGATTCTGGGCATGCACACACATGCACCTGATATGGAGATACCACTGGGTTCAGGATTTGAGTGATGGTCAGTAATGTAGAAGTCCAGTGACTTAACTGTGATGCCATCTGCTGGCTCCCAGTGTACTGTTTCTTTAATTTATGGTATGTCCTTCCAAAGTGTTTCATGCAAATGTACTCTCCCAGAGTGTACATTTCAGCTGTTCAGACACATCATCTCCCTGCAGAGTTATAAACTAGGTTTAATCTGTTATCTTAATTATGGACTTGATACATTGTCCACCTTATTTTATCTTTCTTTCTGAATATAGAGATGCAAGAGAAGAGAGACAATGAATTCCAGAAGACGCAGGAGAAAAGAGCCAACGAATTCCAGGAGGTGAGGCCAGGAGGTGAGGAAGTTCTTGCATGATCTGAAAGAGGAAATACACACCATAAAAGGAATCAAATGGAACTGTTAAGAGATGAAGGCTATAGTACAGGAAGTCAAAAGCTCCCTTGAAAGTATTAAAATCAGACTAGATCATACAGAAAATCGAATCTCAGATGTAGAAGACATAAATCTCTTATATTTAAAAAATCTCATTTAAAACCATAATTTGACTCATTTACCACAATCGGCATAGCATCTCTTGGCTTTCCAGTAGTGAGATGGTTTGGGGAAGAATTATTTATTTATTTAATTCCATTCATTATTATTATCTTTTAATTTGATCAGAACAGAGAGAGAGAGAGAGAGAAAGGGAATGTGAGAAAGAACGCTGCCAGGTCCAGGACTGGAACTGCGGTCAGCCATATGGGAATCCAGGACCTTTAACCACCATGCCACCTTCCAGCCCCTCCAGGAGTGAGATTTTAATTATAATTTCTAGAAAACACAAAATAAAACACCTTGAAGTTGATCTAGTCCAGCTACGTTATAAGCAGCTAGAAGCTCAAAGACTTACTCAAGGTCACAATGTCCATGAGTAAGAGATTCATCTGTAGTACTTAGAATCTACAACTCAGCCCAACGCCATTTCTGC